GATCGTGCAGAAAGTACGTCCGTTTTTCGCAGATTTGTTCGGAACATTACGGAAGCTCGGCGCCTGCGAGACTCGGGGTAGGCCATCCCGCAGTGCACGAATGCCTTGCAAGTGAGATGTTGCCTACCTACAAGGCGTTATGAGAGCCATGGTCCAGGGGGGCGGTAGGCGTGCGGTACAGCATAACTATAGAAGTGCGCGGGGTGAATCAGCCACCTCTGCCCTCGTGTGTGCGAGTGGGTTTGCCTATACCGCCTCTACTGATCATGGCGGTCAAGGCCTCAAGGGAGCGGGCAGCCCGCTCGCACTCGGGCACGCGGTACAGTACAGCGACGCTATACCTCGCCAGTTTTCATCCACATGCTCTGATTTACTCGGATCGCGACTCGGATTTGATTTTGCGTGTTTGGCTGTGCTCTCGCCTCGAACTCGCCTCTCACTCACTCACCTGCACGGCCTCGGCGGACTGCAGGAAGATGAAGGGGCGCGTGCCGACCCACAGGCGGAACATGGGTCCGTAGCGCTCGGCGCAGCGCCTCATGAGCAGGAAGAAGTCCTCCTGCGTGCCGGTGAGCTGCAGGGCGTTGCCGAGGACGGGCAGCGCGCGCGGCCCGGGCACGGCGCGCAGCCGCAGCAGGAACAGGCTCCGGCGCGCGGCCGACACCAGCAGCAGCAGCGCGCAGCAGCCCGCCACGGCCGCCAGCGCCACGCTCACCCGGGAGGCGAGCAGGGGCGCGCGGCCAGCCGCAGCCTGGGGGGCGGGCAGGACACAAAGCACACAAATATATTACACTGTGAAAAAAGTAGGTAGGTTTACAGGAAAATTTTCCTTGACGCAAGTTGTAGAATTGTAATTTGTAATCGTAAAAATACATGTAGCATGTATCGACTTCAAATCCCTTGGCGAGTAAAAAGTGTGCTGTCGTAAATTTACAACTTAAAATCACAATTTAAGTTTACAAATTTTTTGTAAAGTTACGGCGATATTTCTTACAGTGTAGCAGATTTGGGGGGGGGGGAGGACTTGAAGGACGCCCCTTGGTTTGGGGAAAACTTTACAGATTTCGAGGATGTCTCCTTTAAAAAGATGAGATTTCCCCTCATTTTTTTAGAAGATTCATCACAATCTGAAGAGTCGTCCTCTGGGAGTTCCTCAAAGTTTTCCCTCAAACTAACCAGACATGGTTTTTACCGTGCACCTATCATTATTCACAGAATTTCATGCTTAGCTAGGTAAAAAATGTACATAATGTTGCACAAATTTAAGTGGAAATAAGGTATTCATAATATTAAATATAAAGTTAGCTTTGCACAAATTTTGCTGTTTAAAAAAATAATGCAAGTTTCATGCATAACACACGGCATAAGGGTTGAGTTTGTAGTTACTGACGACTACCCGAGGGGAGTCGGTGGTCGTGGTCACATACTGTCTGAGAAAACTCCCACCGAGAAAGCCAATCGACGTCGATATCGTTTTCTCGTCCATTTCGAGCTCAAAATGACGCCAGTAGGCCAAACAAACTTCCTGTCGAACGGAGTTGCCACCTAAGCGGAGTGGACCGTTTCGCGGAAGGGCGGCCTGCTTCTTCTATTTACAGAAGGTGTAATAGACACAATTGAGTTGCAACTCTTAGACCACGAATAGCGTCGCAGTCCGCGCCGCGCCACCAGCGGCGGCCACTGTCCAGCATAGTTAACATGATATTGCAGCGCAGCTCGGCGCAGCCCCCTTCAGTGAGAGTGACGGGCACGCGGCTAGGCCCGCCGGCCCCGCACCGGCGCGTCGCCCACAGAGTGACAGAGACGGAAGCGTCAGCGGCGGCGGGGCGGGACTCTACG